TTTTGGATTTTAATCAAACGTCCCCTTGCGCTTCCAATGTGTGTGACATGTGCTACAAGCATGTAAAGCCATGTACAGTCTGGTGTATGTAGCTGTATGCATGCAGCAGCGCTTGATTGCAGCGCTGTGTGATGTGTGTGTGCTGAACGATTGCAAACTGACAGAACCGTTGTGCAAAACTGTTTCGCCGGGTCAATCAAAAATGATTGTTATTCCTGTTGAGTAGGCCTAATGTTTGATTCATTTCGTTTCTCTTTTTTCACAAATGGCTAAGCATAAAAGTAAACTCATGCCGAGGAGTGCGGTACGGATGGTTTCAGGCCTGCAATTATTCGCACTTCTCGGGAAGCTTTTAGGCGTGCGATGGCGTGGGAGTGCAATCGTACGCCTTAAAACGAAAGGACTGATTTACATGCAGGAATATCTCATCTGATGCAATAATATCTTTACTTTTCTTGTTAGATCAGCATTTGTAAATGTATAAGTGTGTTCTGAGCTTCCTTTTTCTATATATTTCTAGGGTCACAGTGTCAGGTAGTTAAGAATGGAAAATTAGGTAGGTAGGATTAGCAGCATCTGTCCCCGGAAAAGATGGAGACATTACCCATGTGGACAGGGTTTGGGCCTAAGTCATTCGTTACCCCACTGATGGGACAGATGTAACCCCATACTGCAGTTTGGGCACTGGCAAGGTGGCCTGACTTTCTATCAAAGAGTGTCTCCTTTCAGTTCTTTTCATTTTTATCGCATAAATCTCCTTGGTTTTACACCATTTTTTTTTTGTAATGCACCTTTAATCGCTTCAGTGAAAGGGACAAGCTATGAATTCCAAATTATTATTATTATTACTATCTTGATTTTAAAAAAATTTCTTTAAATGTGTAAAAAAATTGCTTTTCAATTTTTTTATAAAATAATCTACTTCTTAGATGCCCAGAAATGCACAAGACCTAATCTGACAAAAATAAAAAGGCCCTCTTAAGTGGGCCCTAAACCTGCTGCTAGTAATTCTATGCCCCACTCCCCTCCTTTTCAATAATACTTTATCAGTCCCAATTTACTTCATATTTAAGAACTTGAAGTGCTGGAGTATAAGTATTTAAGCTATTCACAAAAGGCCCAATGTCAACTCAAAATAAACGTTTTAGCGTATAGAGTGCACCCTACCATGTTTGCCATTGAGAGTGTGTACGCCAGGTACGACATTCCGTACTGTAACACAGGAAGAAACAAGAGGTCGGGGGTACCAACGGGGCCAAACTTGCATTTATGTAAGACCAATTTCAAACTTGAGGGGATTTCAGATCTGAATAACTTAAATACTTGTACTCCAGCACTTCAAGTTCTTAAGTATAAACTCAATTGGGACTGATAAAACATTATTGAAGTTTACACAAACAATGCTACTGGAAACACTGAAGTACGTCCAAGATCATCTCAACTTTCACAAACTTGTGTACGCACAGGTACGGTACTAGGAGTCTTGAGACAGACCTCTGCACTGTTGGTCCATATGTGCACCAGTTTTCAAACTGTGGTAGCAATCATTGAAAGTCATATCCTTTGCATGGGCGGAGGATAGACACTACTCACAAAAGTTAAGGACCACTTTTTATTCTGTGTATCCTTTTTTGTGAGATATTTTACTGCTGAAAATGTGCATTTGACATTTTGAAACAGTTTTCAATGTTTTTATTCCAATGAGAACATCATCTAAACAAACAAAAAATGAAAGAACTAGACCCCACTCACTGCTTGGAAAAAAATACAAGTCAAGAAAAAGTGGTCTTGAACTTTTTTGAGTAGTATACACGTAGAACATGTACATATATAAACCTGGACCCATGCACAATGGGTTGGCAGGTTGACAGAATCCCATTAAGGGATTACAACTAAGCTGGCCCCTTGTCTGACAATGCCTTGACCAACAGATTGGCAAGTCCACTCACAGCACAAACTGGTCATTGATTTCCCTGGTATGCCTAATCCATAGTGCAATGAAAAGCCAACCCAGGGATGATGTTGCAGTGTGCAATCTGCTAGCTACCAGTACATTCAATGATAAATACAAAAGGGCCCTGACCTGATCGGGTCAGCGTGCACTGCTTCACGGTGTCCATAGGGGAAAAGTGACATGTGCTGGTTCCAATTCCATCATGTACTGAGCATGGCAGCAACTGCAGTATACTGTGTAATGTTGGCACAGTTACCTACATGTTACATGTACTAGTACGGGTAGATTCTTAATGACTTTTGAATATTATAGTATTGTTGGACCAGGCACATGTATGCTTATAAACCCAAGCTCATTACATGCACAATTCTACAGTACCAATAAGTAATGGAACAGTTTTGCTCTCCACCAATAGCCGTCTTGTCATCTACAAATTCCACAGAGCTATATATAAAAACTAGAGTGCTGACTCACATACAAAGTGATGCCTGCTGGGTGCATCCATGTTTGTGCACAAACCAATGGGAAAACTTGAAATTGTGTACGGCTTTGTGCAGCTATTGGCATATCTGCGTCTCTATTTCTAAAACGCCAACAAAGCCAATACGCAAACAACCTGAAAGCATAATCAGTAAATGAGCGTTTCATTTTGCTCTGTGCCCAAAAACACAAATGCTACACATGAATTTGGCTGTGACGTTTTTTAATCAGAGCCGTCAACTCACTTCACACTGATTGAATTAAGGGAACGACTTTTCATTTTAGCTGAACTTATTCATCAAAAGACAGCCACTGAAAGACATGCATACCTCCCAAATCGGACGACCATGCTCAAATGTTAGGGAAACATTCGGTTTCAAATAATCAGCTATGGATGTCAATAAACACGTGCCATTGCTCTGTACGTGTGCGCCTTATTCAAAAGGTGTGCTGACATTCGTGTATGTTGTACTTGAGCGCTACATTTAGAATACATAATTTGATATATCCATTCTATCTGATTTTGAATGTTCTACAAGCACACACATGGATTCAAAATGTCTGTGCCCAGGATGGCGTCAAATTTTCTCCGCACAGAGAATAAGTCAACGCTCTAGTTTTTATATACAGCTCTATGACAAATTCACTCAATGTGTACATGTACATGTGTAGCTGCATGGTGGGGAAATTGTCTTCGAGTTGGGATTGAGAAATGAGAGAAAAGGTTGAAATTGGCAAAGGCAAGGTTGGATCAAATCTCTGCTCAATTTCTCTGCCCAGAAAATACATTTCACTTCCATACATGTGCCTGTACCAGTGTTCATAGTATTTAATGTACACGTACAAAGCTTGGCAGCCTTTATGCAATGTGTGCCCACATATCAATAACTTTATGGTCGGAACATTTTCTGAAATTTGATTTGATAAAATACAAATGAAATTGTAGAGGAGATTCTCACAAAAAGTGCAACCTTGGAAAAATGAACTTGACTCATATTGCATCGGAAAAGCTCAGTTCTAGCCCACATTAACAGCAGGTCTGTGGGCAAGAGCTGAAGTCAGTAACTACTCTGGCTTTTCACAGAAATGTGAAAACCCAATTCCATGACTTTTCTTCGGACTTTCCTGGATGAAAATATGACCATTTCCATGATCATTAACGCCATTTTACAGAGAGTATAGGCTGGTTAATTGGTTATACTGCAAAGTGGGAGACTGTCACAGTCATTATTACAGACTGATGAGGACAGCCTGTAAATTTATCATTATTCTCCTATCACATCAACACAATTGTGATTTCCGTGATTTTTCCACGACTTTTTCCTCTGACAACAGGACTCCACGACCTTCTGATTTTGCCCCAATTTCTCCATAACCTTTCCGGGACTTTCCATGACAACTTCTTCCCCAGGATTTTCCATGCCTGTGGGAACCCTGCAAATAACAGCAGCCCGGCTCAGGACCTCTAGACTGACCCTGCCACCTAAATAGTTTTCAACAACTACGACTGACAACCAAATGAACATTGCAGGTCTCGGGGCCCAGTCTCATGACTTTAATGTTCACGGAACCACCCACCATCTAGATGATCGAGGCTGTGACCAGCGATAGCAGTGGGCCAACTTCGGAACTGTTGAATTCATACTGGAAATCCCGACACTCTGCCAGTACGTGCCACAAGTCAAATGAGCACAATTTTCCTGCCACAGAAAATATTTGGCACAAGTATCCTCCTCTCAAGTAACTAACAGGAAGTAATATGCAACCCACACCCGGATCTCTCAGTTCAAGTTCACGTGTATTTTTACTTTCCAGTTAACTCAGATATCTGAAGCGAGGTCGGATAAAGTCTTTGCCCTGGAGAAGCCCCCCACGCAGTTCCAAGGTTTACCAGCTAACTCTCTGCTACTCTCTCATAGTGCTCACGGACACAGGAATGCAACCCCCCCCTTGAGAAATACCAAATATTTTTATTGGTCAAGTCAAAAGCAAGGATTAACGTATGAATGGAGCACTTGTGAAGCACAAAGTGTGGTTGAACAGATGTCCTGGAGTCACTGACTGAATTCAATAGCAAGCAATAAGGAATGTCAAGTTTCTAAATGCACATTAACATCAAATCTGATTTTTCTCAATTGGTTGGTCTATAGCTTGATTCACCATTATGCCTAAATGACCAGCCTTACTGCTCAACAGCGCCCCGATCCTTGCTACTGACGGTTTCACCCTAGCTACAAGCCACCGTACATAGACGAGAATTCAAGAGTTTGATTGACGACACTTCTGTCTTAGCACAAATTACATGGCCAACCCCATGGCAAACCAATGCTGGGCCACATCCATTCAATGCTTCCTAACGAAATTGATTTCCCGAAGGCGTTGCACTACAGGTACTTGTTATTACTCAAATACCACTGCAAGTTGGGGGGTGGGTGCTCAAAATGAGGGAAGGTGGCAATGACAATACACATACTGGCAACTGAGGAACAAATCTGAGAATAAAGGAGTTTGATTTAAACCACGGTTTGCAACACCTCCTCCACCCCTCTTTATTACAACATCTTACCTTGACTGTGCATCACGGGGGATTCTTCTGTGCCCTCCAGCTTGAACGGCGACAGGTCGTGGTCTGTTTTGGCACTGTGCGCGCAATCTTCAGAATTCTCAACCACGCTGAGCGGGAATATGAACGTCTGCTGTGCCGTCTCCATGGCAACTTGGGTGCACTTTTGCAGTGGGCCGAAACTTCAATTTGAAAAATGAAGGGAAGGGGGGGATATAATCTTGCAGGAGTTAATTAACTCAGGTGATAGTGCATCCCAGGTGGGCCTTGCCAGGAAATCTGGTGCAAGGTTCTCTGAATCAAGAACTGCACTTTCAAATCGTTGACTTGCGGTTCAGTCATTCCACTGACCCAGGGCTGCAAGCACGGGTCCCCTCTCTAATCTTATACTTTGTCAGCGAGAGTAGTAATACAAGAAGGGACACTCTGATTGGACAGAATGTAAAAAAGTGGGCGGTACAATGGCCACTGGGAAACTCTGTAATCAAAGATGACTTTGTTCTGATTGGTACAAATCATTTAGGTGCGGTATGCACCATACAGTGCCAAAAATTAATAGACTGTGTGCTGTTGATGCCTTTGATTTCCTTACTTCTGATTGGTTGAGATGCATTTACACAACTGACAGCAGTGACTAACGTATGCATCGTCATTTTATGCAATGGTACCCACAATGTACAGGTGTTTTCCTCTTTTCACAAAGGTGGTATGCAGTGCCACGGTGCTCCCCGCAGACGGACAAAAACTTAGCCCTGTACATGTACGTGTTTTCACGACTGTCATGTGGGCCCTAACATTGACATTGCTGGCCGGGAAAAAAATAGCTCGGCGTCGGAAATTTTGTCTCAAGTTTTTCCCATGAATCTCCCGGGAAAAATTAGCGTTAATTCTGCACAAACCACAGATGACTCAATCGCGACACCTGGATGCCAAGTTGAGGAAATTACGAGGGGGGGGGAGCTGGGGGATGGGAGAAGCGCCTGTGTTCAGAGGGGACACGGCCCACGCATCAGTTTCCGACCTGTCCCCTGTCACAAGTGGGGTGGGCAGGTAGACTGAACAAATTCTGTCTCGTCATTCTGGGCAAGTCAACATCAATCTCTGCAAGAATCAATCTTCGTCCAACCTCCGTCCTGACAGCTTCCCTGCTCAGACTTTGCTAGTGTGGGTTTGCAATGGGGGGGGGAAGAAGTACTTTTATTTCTTTTGGGAGCGGAGATGTGGAACACCGCCACCTGGTTCAAATCGGTGACCGTTTCTCCCTCACGCCTCTGGGGCCCTCCTCCTCTGTCCCTCTGATTCCTTGGGATTTTTCCTTCTCTCCTTTGCCCCCTTCCAAAATACCGGTAATTGTGACAGGAATGATGCCTGACCAGGCAAAAGTTGTCCACTCCAGCCAGCGAGGGGGGGGAGGGGATCTGGGTGCGCAGCTGTAGACAGTTTTCTCTCCCCCTCAGATTTCAGGGTCGGAGGAAATTCTTATTTCCTGTGAAAAAAGGCAGAAGAGGAAGGCGTTCATATTAGCGGCGGCGGGCCAATGTCATGTCATTGTCTAGGCCAGCCGTGTTTATCAACCCGGCGCTAATGCCAAGTTGTTCATAAATTGACAATTACATGCACATGCACAGGATAACTACCTTCAATTGTCACTTCAGGAAACAGATTCTGGGAATACAATAGAAGAGGGTAGTGTCCCCCCCTCCCCTTTTTGTGGGGAGGGGAGTAACAAGGGGAGAAAAAGTTCACCTGTAGGAGGTGGGTGAGTGTAAAGCAAGACCTTGCAGGAGTTCAAAGGGAGGACAAAATGTCCAAGCTTTCCACATACCAAATTGAGTGGGGGACTGGGGATACCAAGTGGAACCCCCACTTCAACACAGGCAACTAGGCGAGTATCACAAAACATTACAGAGGCGGCAGGACACAGCATGAGAATATCTGCTGTGTGAAATTCCAGTTTTCAAACAACACTGAGATCCAGGAGGTAAATCCGTTAACCTGGGGCAAAGTTACGAGTACATGGGTACAAACAATCTTGACATAGTCAAAATACACGTAATCTGGGACTGTTGGCACAAGTTTGTGCAATCTCACTTTTTAAAGTACCATGCCTGGTATTTTCCGCAGATATGGTATAACTACGGTAGTTCATCAACAGAATTCATCACAAGCTGTGAATTTCACACACAAAAGCCAGAGAGGCATTTCAGCTTTTCAGGGCACAACACATAGGAATGTAAACCTAAATACCAGGGTACCTGTAATTGAAGCCCGGGTGAAAACTATTTGAATCCTTGCCAAATTACCAAACTGGGCAACCATGGCAACAATGTCGTCTACTGACCACCACAGAAATGCATGTTGCTGGACCGTCATCTCCACTGAGAATGCGCCAATACTTGATTGAACACACAGGCACCTGAACCTTTAAACTCATGAACAAGTGTTAGCCCCATTTGCTTTCATACAGGTGCCCCGATCAAGTGTTATGCAAACAATATTGTCACTTGCAGACATCATTTGATGGCACTTCAAAACAGTTAACTTCAAGGGGCACTGCTAAGGTTAAAGGGTCTGGGTTGATGGGGCAGGAACGTGCAATGAGTGCCGAACGGTGGAAGGAGGGGCAGTGAGATCAAAATTGACTGCCAAGTGACACATTAACGAGCAGCTGGCTTTGGGGCAACCTTGAATAGCGCCCCCTCTTTTCCTCCCCTCCTCCCCATCAGGAAGTGACAGGTATCGCAGTTTAGCTTGGTGAGCTATTTGCTCTTCTGCTAGAGGAGGCAGTCAAAGTGGGGGTACCCGCACATCCGACTGGTTAAATGGAATTTGGAATTTGGAAGAATCAGCGTTCAATTCAGAACTCTAAAAGATCTTTCATAAAATAAGCATTGAATTATGAGGCTTATTTTTTTGGGGGGGGGCACTTTTCATCATGTTTGTTGGAAATGTATTTTCCAAGCCACAATTAAAAATTTTAGCAACAGAGGCTTCCTCAATTAAAGTGTGTTGTTTTCTCATAATGGCCACCACGAAAAGTAACATCATTTCTTTGTTAATACCAATAAAACCCAGAAGGGTGTTATCAAACAGATCAGGCTCAGAAGAGAGAATGAACATTTAATTGCAAACACAAGTCGCTGGTCGGATAAACAAACTGCAGCTGGCACACCTGAATGGTTAGTTTAGTCTCATCTGAGAAAGCTTGCAATGCACAGCCAAAATACAGTCTCTCACTTTAATGGGGCGGCTTATTTCCGGAAGATTGGAGGTTGGTAAACAACTGCTCCTCTATGGGGCAACCAGATGTAGCCTGCCCGTTTTTGGCCCATTTTTCTCTCCTTCACAGCTGGGCTTTCTTCTCCAGAATGGCGACCTATCTGAACTACTGTTAAATATCTGTTCGTGCAATACGCAAATAAAATTGCACAAACAGCTGTGTGGGTCTGTGTACATATGTATATGTACGCCCAGTACACTACACAATTACAATTTTTTATCATCTGTGATATACTAGTCGTGAACAGAAAATACTATAGTGACTTGTACATTGTATATGCTGGGTACCAACCAATAAGCCATTTGCGAGTTAAATTTGAATAAAATCTGGTGCACTGAGTTATCCGATTGCACATAAACATAACAATTTGAATTCCCCAGACTAAAGACACTGTTGCTATACCTCGTGATTCGAGGCAAGCTTTCGCATAGCGACCACCATCTCTGGAATAGACTGGTTCCTTTGTGCCCTTCTTAACCATTGAGAAAAGTGTATTGTTGCAAGGCGTCTCTTATGTAACCAAGCAAAAGCTTGCCCCGAATCACGAGGTATAGCAACAGCGGTTTTAGTAAGGATAATTCAAGTTGTTACGTTCACGTGAATTTAAAGAACTCAGTGTACCAGATTTGGGTCAAAGTTAACTGGCAAAAGGCTTATTCACGACTGGTTGCTTTTGACAGTCAAGCCATCGGTGCCCCATGCCATGCAATTACACACATACAGTACATGTACATGTATTTTTTCTACAACACTTGAGAATCAAGAATGTGTTTCAGTTAAAATTACTAGTATTTTCAATCTCATTTTTTTTCTGTTTACTTTAGAATGTATTTTGACGCCATCTTTGTTTCATGCTAATACAAATCTTCATATTCATGAGCAAAAAAGCCTAAGATGCCGTCCCAGGGAGGAAACCCCAATGTTGTACTGATTTGGGTGCAAAAAGCGCAGGAGTTTTGGTGTTTTGCTGACCTAAATCTTCTTTTTTTGGTGACTGACCACAGAGTAAGTACAAGAAACAAGAAATCCTTTTATAGAAATATTTTAATTTGCACATTTTGAGTTTGCCATTTGAACTGAAATAGCATAGAAACTGAACACTGTCATGCCTGACTGCCATCAAAGCAACAGTGCAATCAGTTACCCAGAAAAGTGTGGACAATTTCACACATTTGAAATAGCACACTTTTCTTCATACACCTAACCCAAAATGGTATCACTCAGTTTTCATATGAAGAAAAGAATGAAGAAAGCATAAAGATGCACAGAAAGTGGGTGTGAGAACAATTCATTCCTTGGACCATTTAACAAGCAAGTTCAATTCTGTGCAGCTTACACTTAGACAAATTCAAGTGGATCAATATTAATTACAGAATTGATGGTGTGTTATCAGAACTTTGCTTTGAGTTTTAGGAAGCAGATGTACATGTACTATACATGTCAATCTGTGCTGGCTCAATCTGGCCAAACCGGTGTGGCGGTCTCAGCTGTCTCCTGGTCTCAGCGGTCCCGCCTGAAGTAGCTGGACATTTCAGCACGACGCAAGCATGGTCTTGTTGGTCTTCCGTGCTAAGATGTCCGCATGACTAACTCGCACAGTACTATGTGCAGTGCTACTATCTTTGGTGTAGACCTATGAAGAAAATACGTCACGTACAACGTGAAGCATGCATGGACTGCACTGCTCAGCACACCACTTAACGGATGAATTTCCCATTGTTGCGCGCAGAGATGACATGACGTGTTTTTACCATATTTGGTAAGGGGGACCACTGAGACTGGGAGACAGCTGAGACCGCCACACCGGTATGCAATGCGAGCAGTGCTTAAATCATAACAGCTACTGTACATGTAGGTAAGAGGCCATAAAAGTAAATGCACAGCACCAGTGCCTCTTTAACTTAAGACAAAACATGTATGTAAGCACCGTGATGCTCATGCTGCTAATTTAAAGAAATGCATTAATTAAAACCCTATCAAATGACAAGAACAATTTGTAACACCCAGGAACATCTCTTGAAGCATGAATTTGTAATGATACCAGTAGCCAGACTGCACACATTGAGCACATATTATCAGCAATCCACTCCAAGCAAGAACAAAACAGGGTGTCATGCTTTTAAACGAAATTGACGCTCCTTTGGTACGAAGTCACCGCACAGGCACGCAAGTTTGTTGGAGCTTGACCCAGGCATACTGAGCAAGCGCGCATTGAGTTTACTTAGGAATGTACGGTCCTCGCATGCACGCCGAGCGTGTTGAAGAACCCAAGCGGGAAACTTGGTACCGGTGAGGGTGCACTTCAGCTCAGGGTGGATACGGCATCTCAAAGCGCATTTAGTATGATACATCCCTGCTCTACATACAGTGCTACATTTTCAAATCAATGTCCCATTTAATGGGCACACGTATTAGTACAGTTTATGTTGATTTGGGATGCTTGGAATGTATGAATAAATCTTTATCCACCGTTTTTATCTTCATTTGCACTCTTTGTGATACTGCTTTTAATTTAAGGGACAGCTCTGGACATAACATAGATATTCGTTTGTTCGTTCAATATCATTAGTATCCAACATAGTTATTGAAATACATTGTAATTTGTTGTGGTTGTGTTATGCTAATAACAGTTTCAATATTTCGGAGCAAAAACGGTGATGTCATCTGAGGCAATTGCTTCATTACTTCACTCAGGCGGCTGTGGCTTGACATTACCTACAGCTCTATGGCAGGTGGCTGCAGCCACACCGATACCCTCCTGTGCAATCTCACGCCATAGCCAGGTAATTTGGGCACAGGCCAACAAAAATTATGGCTGTTACAGCACAGATCTGAAGTTACCGAGATTTCAGGTTTCGGTTTTTGCGGTGGCAGATTCTCGATTTTGATGTGAGTTTCTTGAAATTGATTGGAACTGTCAGCCCTTGAGCAAAATCTTGCTGACAAATGCTTGAAAATAAATTTGTGCAGAAATTTTTACAGAAAAGTTGAGAACTACAATGTGTGAGCCTCAAGTTATGTCACTGCAACAGCTCCCTCGTGTGTCTGGAAAATGAGCAAGGACATTGTAGATGTGGTCAAAAAGGTTGGCACTGGAAATGAACTGAACTGAAAAGGGATGTTCTATACATTCCTTATTCACATCATATTTCCTCTGGGCAGCCCGCCAAATACAACCGGGCCCTACTGGTAGTACATTACTACATGTATCCACATGTACATTGAGCTGTAATGAGAACCCTACTTGTAGCAACAAGACCTGTACACATTGTAAAGTGTACTGGAAAAACATCAGCCAAAGCACTATCCAATTACAGTCGGTGCCATTGCCACAAATCGAACTTTTGATTACTTTTGTATTTTGCTAGTGCTATATGTATTTACAATGTACATGTATATCACAGCTGGAGTTTCTTACAGTGGAAATTGGATCTTAATAGGCAAGCACTGGTTTAAATGTGGGGGGGTGGCAAGAATGCAATTATGAAGTTGCAAAATACTTCCAATGGCTGGCAGGCCTACAAAGTGGGGGGAGGAGCAATATAACGACATTTTGAAAAGTGGGGGAGAGGAATGACCCCCCCACGCCCCCCTGTTCCGCCTCCATTGTACACAAGTGAATGTAGCAGTTTCTTGTAAAAAATCCAGCGACTCTATGGATCATTTCAATGTACTTTTTAACTCAACATGAGAAGAGTGGAAGGTGATCTCCATGTACAAGTAAAAATAAATATAATAATAATAATCACAGCATTTATAATGCGCACAGCATCTGGAAAGTACATGTACCATTCAGAGGTGCAAATTACCATTATCCCTGCAAACTGGGCTCACATCATCTGAACATTCCTGAAACCATCTCAGCTCCCTAGGGAATATACTAGCCCAGTGCTGCCATTTCAGCGTAAATGTTTAAACATAACCGTGTCTGCCCTCACAGGTACCCATTAACTCCTGGGTGGAGAGAGGCACATAGGGGTACATGTATACAAACATACCTTCCACATTAGTGTAAGCATGGAGGTGGTGTAAGCATACACCTGTAAATGCACATAATTTTGAGGCTCTTAGTATCATTATCCACTAGTACCAATGCCCACCAAAGTGGTAAGCATTTCGCAGCATCGCCAGACATTAACAAGAGTTTGATATTAAGCTTTAGCCAGGTTTGATCTTCGGGTTTCACTGCTGCACTTACTGGCAGTGTTATTTGTCAACGTCAGCGAGCGATACACTTCCAAACCCGAGAACTGTACATGAGGTTATCTTTTGCCTGTGTCACACAATCATGAGTGGAGAATGGTGGTGTTTCAACAGCTAATGTTGTTATATGACTCAAGCTTTGTGCTAATGTACTTCACTACCAATCTCCCCTGCATAGTTCACTGTGAACATTTGGCAAGCCTAGCTGACATTTCATTCATGTACAAATGTACCGGTACTGGTTGGTCCCTGTTCTGAAAGCAAAGACTGGACACACCCTGGCAAGTCAGTAAGTGTGTGTGCCCTCAACAGTGCTGCCTTACAAAGTTATATACATGTACCTGTGCAGGTTTTTGCTGTTTGGCCAATATCCACCCAGTGTGCTTGATGGTAAGCCACGGGGGGAAGATATTTTATGCCAGGAAAATTTTGACTTGATTATGGGGACCTTCAGGTGCTTTTGGTCCTCAGGGCTGGGTAAAGAAAAAAACTTATCTCCAGGGTTTTGGGGAAATGGTGATAGGCATTTTCATAAAGATAGAAGACTTTTCTAAGATGGTGGATTTACTTGACGCTTCTTTTATGACATACATTTTAGTCTTAAGATGCTTTCACCCTAATTACTGCTGACAGCTTTAAGTTCTGTAACAAACAAGTAAAAGATAAAACAAAAAATCTTGCGAATTCCAAGAACCAAAAAAGAGAAAAGAATTAAATCAACAAAGTTTAATCAAGGGCCTGACATTCAGATCCTAGCAGAATCTTCCTCAAACACAAAGTGATAATGACACAGTAAGCTGGCAAGGAAGTGCCCAAGCATTGACTGATACAGTCTGTTAATCTAAAAAAAAACCAAAAATTAATGGAAAATGAACAGCCAGTGTCAATGTACACTGGGATCTTTAAGAAAACAGTGGTTGAATATTGACACACAGAAATGAGAAATTAACGGCCAGGACCCACTGACACACAAAATATATAAGATTGTATGATTTTCATCAATATATTGACTATTGACAAATTTGACTTCCATTCAACTGAAATTTCCTCTCTTTTTTTTTAATCACAAGAGTACAAAACCCAATAGTGCATAAAGCATTCCATATATACCATGGAAGTCCTTTCACAAGTTCAATAGCGGTAGCTTGTGGCATGGCTTAAGTTTAAGGGTACATGACACCAGACAGTACACATGGGTCTGCAATATGGGGGAAATATAAAAAGGAATATAAATGAGTAGGCTTCACAAGCCTTTTGTGGTTCTGTCTTAGTGAAATGTGCAATATTCAAAGTGTTCTATTCCTGATGAATGACTGTTGCTAAGATGTCATTGATGATCCAGCTTCACACTGCCCAACTTCAAACTGTCCAACTTTAAACTGAGAACTCAAAATTTGCTCACTGAACACATCTGCAAAAAAAATTGCTCACTGGTAGTGTACCACTACATGCCAGTACTTGGGTTACAAATCATTAACTAGAGTAAAGAAAATTTAAGACAGCTAACCCCCCCCACCAAATTCAGGCAAAATGTAGTGTTGAACTAGCTGGCACATTGAGGTTTTCCTGAAATGACATCATACGTTGGCAGTTTGGCTCATAAATATGCAAAAGTGACTTCATTAATAAAATAAAAAAGGTTTTAAATAAAATGCAGTAAAAATTAAAAAAAAATTAAAAAGGAAAAATGAGGTTGAGATGGTCACAAGTGTGCATTTCCAAAGACTACATTAAAAAATTACACTGCGCAGATAACTTAAAAATTTTTGCAATTGCAGAAACATGTGAGGATTTCAGAGGGGCTGTCATACAATTGTGTATTTATTTAGAGACCCCCAGTTTTTCGTTATGTATCTTGCAAATCTGGTTTGTTCCTCCCCCAAACAGGCAATGCTCTCTTTATTGCCCTGACACCATTTTTTTTTGGCAATTTCAAATTGTAAATTGTGAGAAAATGTGACTTTCACACAGATAAACCAGCCACGCAAATTTGACTCCACCATGTGCACGAGTTAAAACACTCACAGTTTCCCTCATAATTTCCCTCAAAACTCAAAACCCTACTCTCTCCACAACATCAACCCTACAGTTTGTGATCGTGATAATGTTCATAGTCATCTTCCAAGGTAAATCTAAACATTAAAATAGGTCTCCCTTGTATCTGGGTCCCCAATACACAATCCTCCATTAAATGATCTCACATTTTATAACTGGGGAGGGTCCTAAATGTTAAATCTGCCAGGTCTAAATTTGAAGTAATCCTCCACAATGTCAATGACACCGCCACGACCGCTGCCGTGCTGAGGCTCAGCTGGAAGGCCGAGAAAAGTTAATGAAAGTGTCATCCGATTCTTTAATCTCCCTCGTTATTGTTTAAGTCGGGTAAACGTGCGTCAATTTCGTAAAACATGTCTACATTAAACCTCGGAAACGCCAGAAACATAAACTGTAACTGCAATTCGTCACCTAATAGCGTGACATTCCCCGACCACTGGTACTGGTGGGCCTACATGGCACTTGTCTCCGGACAATAATAAATTAATAGTGATACGGACGTATGCTCAAACCGAGCCCTGAGCCGGCCGTCCGCCCGCGAACACAATTGGTTTCTGACACTCAGAGTGACACGGAACCAATATTTATGCGAAATTGTCACGACAATTTATAACAGCAATAAAAACACAGGAGAATGGGTTAAAAACGTGCACTGCATTGCTTTCTTAACGACAACAGGTGAGTAACAAGAGCAAAAAAATCCAGAAAACTCACCGAAATTCGTGGAGATTTTCAAAGAGCCACGGGCCAACTCGTCCTTGGAAAACATCAACCTCCAACCCGTTGTTTGTGTTGTCCCATAGAGAAATATCAACGTTGCAACCTTGACTAAAATGGACCAGACTATTCCGTGTAATGCAGGGGTGTGGTTCATGACGTTTTGCGGTGACAGGGTGAGTGAAATTGGAAGAAGATAATCGACCCTAAGATGAAACACGGAAGGAGAAAAAAGAAAGACTTTGACTTTTAGCACAATTTACATTTCAAATCCCATCACTCTTGAAGGCTCTTTCTTTGACACATGACACATTCAGACAGGTCATTAGGTTGGTCAGCCCTGTTTTACGATGTTGAGTAAGTCCATTATTTCTGGGGGAAACTAATCCAATTACCAATACCATGGTTTTTATGAATTATTGTATTTTTTGTTTCTATGACAATCTTTAATTTTCTAACACCTATAGAAATAGCGGCAGTTACTTTTAGCTTTTCTGTATAATGTTTTATATCAAAAATAAAGGTAATTGCATCAATTCAGTTTACCCAAATGAAGTGTAATTTTGTCCCACGTAGGTGTGAAGGGTTAAAGTTTAAATTAGGATGATACCAATATTTCAGGGGTTATAGAAAATCTACGACAAACAACTGTAATTCTGTAATTTTGTAGCATACCAAAAAATTACCGGGAAATGTGAACAAGCTGCTGAAATAGCCAGATCATACCACTTGACCTAAATTTAACAAATCATAAAAAGCATTACTGAAACTGAGAATAGTTTTGTCACGTTATATCATATATTTTACTGCCCCTTTAATACATAGTTGCTTATTGGGTGATTGAATATGTAGTGTTATGGCCTTGCTATGCTGCGCTAATCCGTATGTGTATGTCCAGTGTACATGTACATGTACGTACGTACATGTATGCAGTGCGTACATGAACTTGTAAGCCAGTTCGAATGAATGTGAACGAGAAAAAGTACATGTGGTAAGCAGATAAGTGAATAAAACTACTGCTTTTGCCTGGATCTGCAGCCATCATTTAAATCAACACAATAATGTGGTTCCTTGGACACTGAGGTAGATTGGTGTGGTCATCGGAAGAGAGGAAGAAAAGCAGCGGTTATATCCATCGTTCCAGCCCTGCAGTGAGGGATATCGCCAGAGACTCGCCCCACCGGCATCGGCCGAAGGCAAGAGCGCCGCTCTGCGGAGAGCCGACCACCCGCTCGGTGCATCCTGACCAGCTACACACACGCGGTGGTCAAGCCGTAAAACACTCACTACTACCCATCGCCATTCGGCCTTGAACTAAAGCCACTCCGGCCACGGCCAGAGGGGAGTTGAAAGGTTCAGAGCTAACGAATGATCCGCTGGACGAGTGACCAACATAGAGAGGGATTCTTCGACGGGGGATCTAGTTCTTTTCGCGGGCGAGGAAGATAATCAAGAAGGAAAAAAACCTGACTGCGGATTCCAGGAAGACCTTAAATTTTCGTCGGAGTTCGGAAGAAGACATTTGTTCTGAATGTACAATATGGCGTTAGCGCTCGCAGGTAAGGAGGAGATCTTGTATTTCGCTGAGCATTTAGTTGACATTTTGGCCTACCCCGTTTTCGTGTCATGGTGAGATTTGGTTTTAGCGGCGCGGTCAGTAATGCGTGCACGGCCAACCGCAAAAAAAGCCACGGCCAGGTCCTGGCCCGAAGTGCTTCTTCGCACCGAGTAATGTGTCACCCTCATTATAATAACAAATAATTGAACTCCGAATATGGATCAGTTTTAACCCGAAGATTATTGCCAGTGCCAAATTGTTTATTAGAGCGAACAGGATGGTTATTTTTATTTACTTCATATTTCAGACTTTGATTCAATGACAGTTGTGAAATACTGCTTACTGGTCAATTGTTGCTTATTTCCTTGTCCTTTTTCAGTTGTTCAGACAGGAAAGTACGCAGTTATGCATACTTCCTCTAGATTTCAGGAAGCAGTAGAAGCTATACTTAAAATTAAAATTCAGTCATGTCAGTTCTGTTAATCGTTACAACGTAATGTGCTGCTTTGCCACAGTAAATTTCCTTTAAATGAAAGTCTGTGCTGCTTTTCATAAACTAATCTGAATAGGCACTCTTTTTCCAAGCAACTTATGGAAATCTTACATTGGGCAATCACACAACTAGTCAGTTTTCAAAAAGATCTAATATCAGATTACATTTCTGTTGTATCACTTTAAAGTAGACTCCGATATTCTCAGCAAAAAATGCACCTTTATCTGTTTCTTGCTAAAAACTCTCTCATTTCTCAATACCTTTCAAAGTGAACTGTGCCATTTTATATGCAACACCAACTGTTCACAATTTTAATTTTACACCATTCATCAAACTCCATTTCTGACACTTTGTAATACAAATATTACCTATTGGGTTACAATGTAGCAATGGACTTCCTATTAGTGTTACATTGTGTCTATTTGGGAACACATACATAGTGTTAATTTTCTTTTGAACAAGATATGCCACACGAAGGGCTTTTTATTGAAAGGGAACATGTACATGTGCTGCACATGTATGCCCCCCCCAGGGCGTGCTTGTGGCCAGCCATATTTATTTCCACAATTTCCCCAACACCCCATCGGCTCAGTCATCAACTCCTTTTCAGACTTCTGGTGGTCAACATTTATGTCACAGCTGTATAAGGGAGTACATCTTTCAGGCTGATCATTGCTACCATCTTTGGATTTTGGTGGTTTATATTCTGAAGACAAAAATAGCTATAGGGAAAAAAAATGTGTTCAATTTCGTTGCTGAAAAACTTCATCAAACTGAGATGAACTTTAGACCTCTTGAGTTTGGTGCATTGTACATAGATAAAAACTTTGAACAGATTTAATTCAGGGCAAAGGCCCTCGTATTTTTTATCTTGGGTATTTGTCCAAACAGTTTCGTAGCAAGCTGAACTGCATCTCTGTATATTTGAACATGTGTGGTTCGAGTATGAGATAATATTGGTAAAAAGCCCTTGGAACCTGTAAGAATTGTACTGTATTAGGAAGCTTTCACAGGGAAATTGAAATTATTTACCTTTTGCCCCTTGAGTAGAAAATTATGAAGGATTTTAGTTTGGTGCATGGTTCCATCAGTAACCAACTGAAGCACCCATTGTTTGTTTAGCTTAGCGGTGACTGGTAACCGGCGGTAACTGGTACGTGGAGTGCAGTGGGCGAGTCGTCCTTCTGGATACATGCAAAATAATACTCGCAGGAGATGACTCAAGAAAGCTATGCGAATCGGTCATTAGATTCCGGAAGCCCGCAATAATTGGATCCATTCACCCAGCGTAGGCCAAAAAAAAAGTGGGGGGGGGAGTCATGAGTTTCATCTGAGAATTGCGCAGTGTTAGATGACAGTTTTGTTGCTCAGGGATTTGTAGCCACATCCATTTAGAGTACACTTCAATTCATATTACTTACAGAGTTTTTAAGTTATTGCATTAAGTTGTTGTATAGAGTGATCCGTGAGTTGCATTAAAGTTTTCAGTTTCAAAATGGGAAGGCTGTTGTATAGAATGCACTCGGTTTTGGAGGACAATGAAGATAGGTCCCAAAAAGTCCTGAAAATCAACAGTTACCAGTGCACCTGTTAGGAGCATTGAGGGAAGGTATAGGGGCTTGGATGGGGAGGAGCTGGAAGGAGGTAGGGTGGGAGGGGAGTCAAGGGACTTAATTCTGCACGTGACGTTCGGCAAGAGTTTCTTGGATCCTGGCAGACAACAAGTGGAGTGTCTGACGACATAAGTCAGACATCTTCATTAGAATTGATTACTCAGAAGTGGAGTTTCAAACATCATTCCTTGGATGTGAGCAAGGCAGCCAATAGATTTACATGCTTTTATTTGGTCAAATTAATGTGAATTGATCCTCCCAAACTGGTTTTATTCATGTATTTCAACTACATTTTTTCCAACTGTATGATATTGGCTTTCACACATGTATGCCCCTAGATCAAGAAACCTCTGCTGAACTTCTCATTTTGATATAATTATACTAACGTTGGCATCCTTCTCGATGTGTAACATTATTTGGGTGAAAAGTGAAAACACTGAAAGTTCCCTCAGCACTTCCAATGAACAGGATTTAATGCTTGAAGGTATGGCAACGTTTTCCTTTTTCGGTCACAAATGTAGAAGACACTTTCTGGTTGCATTTTGATCTACTGATTGTGAGTCTGTGACTCTTACAGTATTATCAACATAGTGATATAACCCTGGACACTGCAAATAGTTTGTTCTGATTCTAAAAATAAAAAATAATCTGAACTTTCAGCATCAAATAAGTATTCAGAATCAGAAATATATACAATTTGTATGAAATCTATCCTTGTCTGTGCAGTTGCATAATTTATGCATGTTAATAAGCTCTTAATTTGTATTCAAAATTATTTATAACGTTATCGTATGAAAAGTTTTGGCACTATGCTGTTTATGATTGTGAATATGAACAGTGAATGTGCTGGTATAGTTTGTGTGCATAAACAGAGAAGGAGGAATATACATGCTGCAGTAAAACCAGCCATTGATTTTATGTCATTGAAACAGCCTGTTAAAAATTGTGGGTTGATTTTCTGTACATGCACCCCGCCAATGTTAATGGGGCCAACTTTGCTATATTCACGTACATGTACGTATACAGAGTATATGTACCATACATGTGCTTATGTTAAGTTTATTGACAAACACCCATCTGGCGTTAATTATATTCAGTGAGTGAAATTCTGGCTGAGCACTTTCAAACACTGCGCAACCCCACTTTATATTTAATCAGCAAAAAATAAACAAATCTGATCTTGAAGTTTTGCACTTGCCCTCCACCCACGGAATACTGTAGCCTACAAATAAACTGTTGACGATTTCACCTGAATAGAGTCAGGTAATTTTAGTTTAAAGTCAAACGTCAGCAACACACAGTCAAAGTGCGTAAAATTTCGCCACAAAAAGAAGTGGAGTTTGTGACAATTACTTTGTACTTACAATGTAGATACATGATACTTCACCATAAATAATGGGTACCAGGATTTTTGCTTTTTAGCAGTGAGGAGGATCGGATAAAACATGTTGGCCTACTTACAAGGTTTGGAGATTCCAACATGTCCTTTCAGGAAGGCATACATGTCTTACCATTGAACCTTTATTATTTGACAAAAAGGGCATTTTTATGTGAAAGTTACTTTGTACTTACAATGTAGATACATGATACTTCACCATAAATAATGGGTACCAGGATTTTTGCTTTTTAGTAGTGAGGGGGATCGGATAAAACATGTTGGCCTACTTACAAGGTTTGAAGATTCCAACATGTCCTTTCAGGAAGGCATACACGTCTTACCATTGAACCTTTATTATTTGACAAAAAGGGTATTTTTATGCCTTTAGCATCCAAACGTAGCTGTAGTCCGGCTGTCTGATGGCTGTTTCCTGTATTGCTGCAGTGCAGGGCAGCGCGGTTTGCACTTTAAATTGCTTTTACTTCCAAATTTTTCAATCTGGTAGTATTTTTCTTCTCCAGGTTAGCACAGCCCATAGAAAATGCCCATCCAAGCAGGTGCAGTGATGCTGACAACAACCATCTGTTCGTGTTGAAGCCATACTGTCATTTGTTTGTTTGGCTAATTAACAGCAACAAGTGGCAGCAAAATGAACGTTTAGTGAAGTAATATCAACCAACTGGTTGTAGGTCAACATCAGGTGTGGGACTGGCCCCCCTTGTTAAAACAAAAAAATGAAACTGACATCACACATGTGCATGTAGATGCCAGTTGCTCATATTGAGTTGTCAAGCCACTGCATCTGTTTGCATTGCACTGATGCATCTGGACCATTTTTTGGAAATTTGTCAGGTTTTTTTCTTTCCCTTGCAAACCAAAATTGAATTACAAAAGACCCTTTCACACTTACTTCACCTCTTCGTGTTTAAATCACTGTGCGGCAAACACTCTGGTGTAAGATTGGTGTTAGGTTAACACTCTCTGAATTTGCTGACGGGGGACAGGCATTGCCCAGTGTAGTCCTCAAGGGGTGTTAGATTGACACTGCAGCTGTTTGGCAGTGTGCATATCTTGGGCCACCACAAATGGACTCAGCTCAGATTGACATGTGGCAAGACGGCATCTGTGTTACGACTGGTTCAATACTTGAGGTGAAAGCACACTCTGCAAAATGAATTTGACATCACAAAATGGTTACAGCAAAATTGGCTTGAGTTGAAGTATGTTCTAACTTTTGTGAATTTGCAATGCAAAAGATTGATCTAGTGTCAGAGAATCATGCATGGGTGTGTATGGTTGCTTTTGTGCCGCGTACGAATCTGCCTGTAAGCACCGGTTTTTGTATACGTGGAGTCTCTCAACCTTTGCCCTGACTGGAACTGAATGTTAACCCAGCTCGAAACTCTCAGAAACCATGTTGGATTCTTACTTCAGTGAGATCAGAAACCAAATCCTCAGGGTTCAGTCCCAGGTCTGACTTAGATTTTGCATAATATGAAAGTACCGTGAGGTTTCCA